AAATGAATATAATTAGAACAAATCAAAAAGAAAAAAAAAACATAATGAAAAAGAAGAAAACCCACAGCCATCATCTCCTCCCCCAACCCAAAATTCTTCCATCTGCATCACCACCACCTCCGCACCACCTGCCTTCCCTCCCCAAAAAAAAATATGCTTTATGTTTAATTTGATGGGTTTTTCCAGATTTCTTTTGAATCAAGATTTTTGGGCGCGACCCTATTCGTCTCATCTCTTCGTCGGAGGTGGGTTTGGAGGCGGCATCATCCGGGCCGGATGAAGCATCCATGGCGATGAACAGATTTGAGAAGAAAGAGACGGAGAAAGAAGATGAGGTTTTGAGAAATTATGAAAATTGCAATTTGGTCCTATGCAATTTGGAGAGAGGGCAGCGGCTGCGGCGTGGTTGAATCGGAAAGTCGGCCAATGATTCTTCGAGTTTGACATTCTTCTTCTTCTTATTCTTCCTGAAGGTACGAATTAAGTTTTCACAAATTGGAAGAAAATGCTATGGAAATTGAAAGAAATTTCTTTGAAGGGTTTTTGTATATTTTTTTGTTTGGGCAGGGATGTGCCGAAAAATTTTGAGGAGCCGTTTTTCTTCCATTTTGTTTTCTTGGATTTGGAATAGAAATGAAATTCATGTTCAGATATGGGTTTGGTTGATGGTTTTTGCCGGAAAAAATCATGGTGAAAAAGTGGAGGACTAGTTGAAGAAGATGGCTTAATTGAAAATATAAAGGCCTGAATTGAAAATCTTAAAAACTTCATTTTGGTACTTATAAAGTTTCTGGTTGCATTTTGGTATTTCGTGTCAAAAAACGAACCCCCACTCTCATCCATGGCGAGTGAAGTGCACGGTGAGCTCTTAAGGGCCTTATTGCCTTTGACTAATTTTTATAGGGGGGTATTTGCTAATTGTTTTAACACGAGATCGTTTTCAGCAATTCGAGATTACACAGGGGTGGTTTTTGCAAAAAACCCTAAAAATATGTATATGTTTTCTTAAAGAAAAAGTCTTTATATGTTTTACATTTTATATTAAATAAGAATAATAATAATAAAATAAAATAAAAGTTATCTTCTTCCCCGCTCCAACTCACCACCCCCTCCACCACACCCACAAATCACCACCGCTCCCCACCACCAGTTCAACCATCCTGCACCATCACAAGCCCACCCACAACAGTAAGAATGATGGATGTTAATACTAAATAAAAGGAAATATATATTCAACAACACAAAAGTTGAAGTACTCTTCCGGTGGCAGCCCCACCGCCGAGTCCGGAGGCGGCGGAGAGATTTCGATCTCGTTCTTGTCTCGGTGCAGTTCCTTCTCTTCACCTGCACTATTTCGTGAGGTCGCCCGCATCGATAGAGCGGCAGGACTGAGGAGGCTTCGGCGGCGGCCGTGCCCGTCGTTATTGCTCTGCAATGCCATTTCTAACCCCAGAACTTTTGGGTAGGAGATAGGTTTTTCAGAAATTTTAGAAATTACAATTTGGTGCTGTAAATTAGGTTAATTATTTATAATTGAATCGATATTATTTTATGTTTATTTACAAAGGGCTATGGGATATTTTGGTATTTTCACGGTCAGTCAATGGGAAAAAATCAAATGGGTCGAGTGTGTTGTCCAAAAATATTCATAGGGGGTATTTGCTAATTATTTTATGATAAGGGAAAATCGCGCAGATGCGATTTTCACAGGGATGGTAAATGCAATTTACTCCAAGAAAATTTCTATACGTGTTAATACTAAAACTGGAACAAGAACTTTTATTAGTCTGCAACAGAATTTCAATCATTTTAAACCTTGAACATCAAAACTCTCTTGAATTATGTCAAACGTTTGAAAATTATTCACACTCCCAGCATTCAATTCGACCCTTATGACTCACGATTTACAGTAATATTTTAATAACTTCGTTCGTTTGAATTAATTTATTTACGATTTAGGTAACAATTCCAGGTTAAAGACTATATTTTAGAGATTATGAGATCGAAAAAAAATAGAAACCGTAGGGTTTCGTGCTCTAGGGCACGAAACGTTCAAAAAGTTGAACATTTCGTGCCCTAAAGCATGAAACTGAATTGAAGAGAACGAAACATTTGGAGCACGAAACTATAAATTGTTGTGAAAGTTTCGTGCTCTAGAAAACGAAATCCTGAAAATTATAATTTTCTTAATTTTTTTCGTGCCCTAGTTTCGAACGCATTATCCACAACAAAGAAACGACTGTAATCCTGAAATTCAAATATGTTCAAAGGAACATCATAACACAAGTTATAATTTTCTTCTTGTTGTACCTAGAAAAAGTTAAACAAACAATTCAAATATAACATAATATTTAAAAAAAGAAAAAAAAAAAAAAAAGTTGTTTCGTGCTTCAGAACATGAATTTTGTGAAGGTGTTTAGTGCTCTACAACAGAAAACATAGTGTTGTGCTATAGAGCACGTAACTATAATTATTCTTTTCTTTTTCGTTTTGTGTTGTTACTTGTTCCAAAGTTTCGTGTTCAACAAAACGAAACACTTAAAATCACGGAAAAATGAATAACTAATCTTTACCTCAAAATCGGAATCCAAATCGGACATCCAGATGAGTGTTGATATTCTTCAAATATTATCAAAACGAGTTTCAGAGTTTACAAAATTTCAGAATTGAAAATAGAGAGAGAATTTTGATTTTTTTTTTTATGGTCTTGAATAATGACTAAAATCCCGCTGCAACCTAGTATTATGCTCGCACGAATAACAAGTCCCTGAAACTGAAGTATCTCAAAACTCAACAGTAGTTATAAATGGTGAACTTTGATTGTCAATGTTGATGGAAGACAGTAATCATTGAATAAATTAGCATTGAGATTACTAGTTACTACAATGTTCTTCTTCGACTATCATATTGTGCATCACATCACATCCTAACATAACTTGCTGCAAGAATTTTTCATTCCAAAATCGAGTTGTAAATGATGCAATTATTTACATCATCAATAATTTTATCCATAGACAATATATGAAATATCAATTACAAGATGAAACGCCACATAAATCTTAGGATTGCAGATGATGCAAACGCTTACATCGTCAATATTTTATTTGCGTACAAAATTTAAACTTAAAAAAATCAAAAATGCAAGAAGACAATGTAACATATATGTATTATGACTTATCTTAGAAATATGAATATAATTGCTAATGTTTTCTCCTAAAAAAAATAGGGGTTTTTGTGATAAAGTCCCCAACCAAGCATGTTTATTATTCTAGGTTTAGGGGCTACATCTCTTTCACCAATAAGTTCATCCCTTTAATATTTATTATAAATAAAGGAAACACTCATGTATATCTCAATATTACCCTCAACCATTTATACACAATTCTTAATTGTAACCCCAATTTAATCAATTTTGTCCACAAAAATCCAATTTTGACCACAAAAATTTAATTTTGACTTTTTTTTAGCAAACTTTACTATGCTCTAATTTCATCCTTTAACTTAATTTAATCTCAATTTGACCCAAATTTCACATATTATTCAATTTTGACCCAAAACCTTTTTTTAAAAAAAAAAAATTTCAAAAACTTTTTTTTTCCCGCCGGATTCCAGCGTTGACTTTTTAATTTTTTTTTCTTTCGGATTATTTCGCCGGTTTCCGGCGTTGACTTTTTTTTTTTTTTTTTTTTGCTTTCTTCTTTTCTTTTCTTCCGGATTTTTTCGCCGGTTTCCGGCGGTCTCCGACGTTAACTTTTTTTAGTGTTTTTTTGAGTTTTTTTTTGGTTTTTTTTTTTTTAACGTCCGCCGCTAAACGATGACCGTAATTGTGTTGTCACTGACAGTAAATTAACGTAATATACTGTCAATGACAGTAAATTAACGTAATTGTACTGCCGTTGACAATACATTTATGTAATTGTGCTGCCGTTGACAGTAAATTAATGTAATCTTATTATTATTATTATTAATTTTTTTTATTTTGTTTGATTTGTTGACAAGTCAACGTAATTATATTACTGTTGTTGACAGTAAAATAACTGTAAACACAATAATATTACTGTCAACAACATCAATATTATTATTTTTTTGGGTTTTTTGTTTTGTTTAAGTTATTCACGGAGTAATGTAATAATATTACTGTCTATTATTGTAATATTACTGTAAACACAATAATATTACTGTGGTTGACGGTAATATTACTGTTGTTATAGTAATATTGTTGTCAACCACATTAATATTATTATTTTGTTTGGATTTTTTGTTTGTTTGTGTTATTCACGGAGTAACGTAATAATATTACTGTGGTTGACGATAATATTATGTTGTTATAGTAATATTACTGTCACTCACAGTAATATTAATTCTTTTGGTTTTTTATTATGTTTACATTTGTTGAACGGTCAACATAGTAATATTACTCTATTACACAATAATAATGAGTTTTGTTGTGTTAATATTACTGTGCTAGAGATTAATATAACAATATTAATGTGTTAAACAGTAGTTTAGTTTAAGTTTACTGTGTTTAACAGTAATATATTAATATTACTGTCAATCACAGCAATATTGCTGTTTAAACGAAAAAAAGGTTACAGAAAGAAAGAAAAGAAGAAAAAAAAAGAAAAAAAAAGAAAAAAAAAGAAAAAAAAAATTAAAAATAAATCGAAAAAGTCAACGCCGGAAACCGGCGAAAAAATCCGAAAAAAAATTGAAAAGTCAACGCCGGAATCCGGCGGGGAAAAAAAAGTTTTTGAAAAAAACAAAATTGAAAAAAAAAGTTTTGGGTCAAAATGGAATAATTTGTGAAATTTGGGGTCAAATTGAGGTTAAATAAACTTAAGGATGAAATTGGAGCATATTAAAGTATGAGGGGTTATTTTAGTCCTTTACAAAAATCTGGACCATGTGTGGACTTATTGGTAAATGATTTTTTGTCTTGATCTCTTTGTAAATAAGTATACATTGATGGACTTATTTGTAAAAATACCCCAAAAAAATAGGATTTTTCATTTTAGGAATAAAATTGTTTTATTGAGAAAAATGGCATCTCATTTCATTTGAGTTTAATTATGCTTGGCTTGGCGCCTCACTTCAATGGCAGCCCTTATCCACCACCACCACTGCCATCATCCTGCCACCGCCTCCGCCGCCATCTCTTCTCCGTCTCACCGCCGTCTGAAACCCTTTACGCCTTCACAGGTCACTTCTTATCTTTCTCCCTCTAAAACCCCTCTTTCTCTCTCCTCCTCCAATCCCCATTTCTTCCCATACCCATCATTTTCTCTCTCCAAATTTTCTTCTACCCCAAAGAAGCTTGATAACTCTCAACCGTTATCGAACCATGAGCTCTCTCGTCTTCTTAAATTGTCCATCGAATACGCCGATATTCAGCTCGGTAAAGCAGTCCATGCTTCGGTTCTCAAATTCGAACAAGACGTTCGCTTATTTAATTCTCTCATTACTTCTTATTTCGAATTGGGTAAGTTGAATTATGCTGAGAGAGTTTTCGATTCGATTTTAGCCCCAGATGTTGTTTCCTACACTGCTATGATTTCGGGTTTGGCGAAATCGAATTGCGAGAACGAAGCCCTAGGGTTCTTCTTTGAGATGAGAGATTCCGGCATTGAACCCAATGCCTACTCTTTCGTTGCCCTGTTGACTGTTTGTATGCGATTGATAGATTTACGATTGGGTTTCCAAGTTCACGCCTTGTCGATTAAAACGGGCCATATCAATTCTACTTATGTGGCCAATGCAGTTATGGGATTGTATACTAAGTGCAGTTGTTTGGATTATGTCGTCAAACTGTTCGATGAAATGTCCGAAAGGGACGTTGCTTCTTGGAATACTGTAATTTCGTGTGTGGTAAAGGATGGTATGCATGAAAGAGCATTTGAATTGTTTCATCGTATGCTGGCTGTGGAGAGTTTTAGAGTTGATTACTTTACACTTTCAAGTCTCGTGATTTCATGTGCAAGATGTTTTGCAAAAAAGGAAGGCGCTGCAATCCATGCATATGCGCTCAAAATAGGGTACGGAACAAATTTGAGTGTGAAGAATGCCCTGATCGAGTTCTACGCAAAGTGTGGATGTGTGGAAGATGTTGAAACTTTGTTCAACAGGATGCATGTACGCGATGTTTACACATGGACTGAAATGATCGATGCTTATATGGGATTTGGGAATGTCGATTCGGCTCTGGAGATTTTTAGTAAGATGCCCGATAGAAATTGCGTCACGTACAATGCTCTATTAGCTGGATTTTGCCAAAACGGAGAAGGATTTAGGGCGTTGCGGTGGTTCTGCAGAATGGTGGAGGAGGGCATGGAGATAAGTGACTTCACTTTGACTAGCGTTCTACATGCTTGTGGATTGGTCAAAGATTCGAGATCCAGCGAACAAATTCATGCCTTTGTTCTCAAGATAAAATCCAGCACCAACAATCACATCAAGGCAGCGTTGCTCGACATGTGTACAAGGTGTGGCAGAATGGAGGATGCCGAGAGAATATTCCATCATTCGACGCTCGAACGGAGCAGTTCGATTATGCTGACGGCAATGATTTGTGGGTACGCCCGAAACTCCGAGCCGGAAAAAGCAATCTCCTTAATCTGCCAATGGCTACACCAAGTACACGATGATGTCGTGGATGAAGTGGCAATAGCTTCGATTCTTGGAGTGTGTGCAGATTTAGGGTTCCGGAAACTAGGGGAGCAATTTTATTGCCGTGCGTTGAAATGTAGTTTGTTGCATGATATTGGAGTTGGTAATGCTGTAATTAGCATGTATTCGAAATGTGGCGACATGGAGGAAGCAAATAAGGTGTTCGATAAAATGCCTGCGCACGATATAGTTTCTTGGAACAGTCTTTTGGCTGGATATAACGTTAATCGGCAGGGTGGAAAAGCCTTGGAAGTGTGGAAGAAGATGCAAAGAGGGAAAATTCAACCAGACACAGTTACATGTGTGTTAATTATTTCAGCTTATCGCCACACTAACTCTAATTTAATCGAACACTGCAAAGACTTCTTTCGGTCGATGAAGCCCGTTTACAACATCGAACCCAATTCAGACCACTACGCATGTTTGGTTGGTGTTTTGGGCAACTGGGGTCTTCTAGAAGAAGCAGAGGAATTAATCGAGAATATTCCGTTCGAGGAGACTGCCTCCGTTTGGCGGGCCCTGCTTGATAGTTGCGGAATTCACAAAAACGCCATTATCGGAACAAGGGCTGCCAAGAAGATACTGAGCATGGAGCCGCAAGATCCGTCGACGTACATATTAAAATCGAATCTTTACTCTGCTTCCGGAAGGTGGAACTGCTCGGAATTTGTTAGGGAAGAGATGAAAGAAAGAAGGTTCCGGAAGTTCCCGGGTAGGAGTTGGGTTATCGATCAAGAAGAGGTACATTCGTTTTTTGCTAGGGATAAGTCGCATCCAGAATCGAAGGACATTTACAGTGTGCTTGATATATTGTTTATGGAGTGCTTGAGAGCGGGGTATAAACCCGATACGAGCTTTGTGCTGCACGATGTGGAGGAGCATCAGAAGGTGAATTTCCTCTTGTGCCATAGTGCGAAATTAGCCGTTTCGTTCGGTCTAATCACGACTAGGGTTGGAAAACCGGTTAGGGTGGTTAAGAATATACATATGTGTGGGGATTGCCATACTTTCTTGAAGTATGTTACGGTTGTTACGAAGAGGGAGATACACGTGAGAGATGCTTCTGGTTTTCACTGCTTTGCTGATGGTGAATGCTCTTGCAGAGATAACTGGTGATGCAATTCTTTATTTATTTATTTATTAGTTTTATTAGTGTGTTACTGTTTTTATTTTGTCCTAGAAGCTTCGGATTAAGTAATTTGTCTGAAGCTAATGTTAACATATATGTAAGTATAATATAATATGCAGAGTTGTAAAGCAAACTTCTTTACATTTTTGTGGTGAGCTCAGATTTAGTTTTCTTTTGTTCCATCTCCATGGAGAGGGTCTTTTTGTCATATATTGGAATACTTTATTGCTATTAGTATTTTTTTTGTTATTAAACCTAGTGTAACAAGGGTTGTGTTCATTGCATTTGAAACACAGTAGATAAGCTCTTATATCTGATAAGTTTTTGTAAGAGTTGATAAGTTGTTAGTTGTTACGCATTATTTTTAGGCTTAGTTTTTAAAGTGTTTAGATAATGATTTTATAAGCTATTTTTAGTCATAATAAGATCTTAAATAAAATGATGGGTAGAAGTAAAAGCTTATTTTTTGAATTTTCAAGATCTTATTTTTAAGGGCATATTACAAATAAGCCCATCAGTGGGAACTTATTCATAAAGAGATCCAGACAATATTCTCCTTTACCAATAAGTCCACACATGGTCCAGATTTATGTAAAGGACTAAAATAACCCCTCTTACTTTTATATGCTCCAATTTCATCCTTAACTTAATTTAACTTCAATTTGACCCCAAATTTCACAAATTATTCAATTTTGACCCAAAACTTTTTTTTTTCACAAATTTTTTTTTTTCAAAAACTTTTTTTTTCTGCCGGATTCCGGCGTTGACCGGCGGTAAACACCGGTCTCCGGCGTTGACTTTTTTTTATTTTTTTTATTTTATTTTTTTTTAATTTTTTTTTCTGTAACTTTTTTTTCCGTTTAAACAACAATATTGCTTTGAATGACAGTAATATTAACTATATTACTGTTAAACACAGTAAAAATAACTAAACTATAGTTTAACACAGTGATATTGCTATATTAATCTCTAGCACATTAATATTAACACAACAAAATTCATTATTATTGTATAATAAAGTAATATTACTATGTTGTCCGTTCAACAAATTTAAACAAAATAAAAAAAACAAAAGAATTAATATTACTGTGAGTGACAGTAATATTACTATAGCAACAGTAATATTACAATAGTAGACAGTAATATTATTACGTTACTCCGTGAATAACTCAAACAAACAAAATATCCAAACAAAAGAATAATATTGATGTGGTTGACAGGAATATTACTATAACAAACAGTAATATTACCGTCAACCACAGTAATATTATTGTGTTTACAGTAATATTACAATAATAGACAGTAATATTAATACAAACACCACAAAAAAATAATAATATTGATGTTGTTGACAGTAATATTATTGTGTTTACAGTTATTTTACTGTCAACGACAGTAATATAATTACGTTGACTTGTCAACAAATCAAAAAAAAATAAAAAAAAAATAATAATAAATAAAAAAATATAATATTGCATTAATTTACTGTCAACGGCAGCACAATTACATAAATGTAATGTCAACGGTAGTACAATTACGTTAATTAACTATCATTGACAGTATAATTACGTTAATTTACTGTCAGTGACATCACAATTACGGTCAACGTTTAGCGGCGGACGTGGAAAAACAAAACAAACCAAACAAAACAAAAAACTTAAAAAAACACTAAAAAAAGAGACCGCCGGAAACCGACGAAAAAATCCGGCGGAAAAAAAAAATCCGGAAGAAAAAAAAAAAAAAAAAGTCAACGCCGGAGACCGGCGTTGACCGCCGGTCAACGCTGGAAACCGGCGAAAAAATCCGGAAGAAAAAAAAAAAAAAAAAAAAAAAAAAAGATTAAAAAAGTCAACGCCGGAAACCGGCGTTGACCGCCGGTCAACGCCGGAATCCGGCGGCAAAAAAAAGTTTTTGAAAAAAAAAATATTTTTTGAAAAAAAAAAAATTTTGGGTCAAAATTTAATAATTTGTGAAATTTGGGGTCAAATTGAGATTAAATTAAGTTAAGGATGAAATTGGAGCATATTAAATTATACTCCAAAAAAAAGTCAAAATTGAATTTTTGTGGTCAAAATTGAACTTTTATGGACAAAATTGATTAATTTGGATTACAATTAAGAATTGGGTATAAATGGTTGAGGGTAATATTGAGATATACATGAATGTTTCCTTTAGTTATAATAAATATTAAAGGGATGGGCTTATTGGTAAAAGAGATATGTCCCCTAAACCTAGAATAATAAACATGCTTGGTTGGGGACTTTTGCATAAAAATCCCTATTTTTAATAATTTCCAAACACTTTAGAATAGTTTATGAACTTTAAACTTTTTATAAAGCTCTTTTCAACAAATAAGTATAGTTGCTATCTATTGATTTTATCACAAAAAAACCCTACGAACTTTTTTCTTCCTTTTTTTTTTTTTTTTTTTTATGTTTTGTGATAACCAAAAACGATGAATTAGTAAGAGAAACTAAATCAAGCATATAAGAAGAAAAAAAAAAAAAAAAAAAACTAAATCAAGCATGTAAAAAAAACCAACTACTTTGATAAGAAGTTCACTACAAAATTCGAAAAGCATTAAAAGAAACCTACTTAAGTAACCTAAGTTGCAAAAAACATATCATAAAACAAACTAGATAAATTAATTGTTCAAAACTACTAAAACTTTAGGAAATAGGAAATAAATAGAAATAAATAGAAGTCCCTATAACTCTAGCATTCAACTTCAACAGCAAGCCTCTTCATCTGGGATTTACCACATCCACTTGCTCCAAAAGTTTTCTCTGATACCTCAATTGAACAACTTTCTTTGCCAATGCATGCCTAATAATAATAATAATAAATAAATAAATAAATATTAAAATTAATTTAATTATCCAACAAGAAAAAAAAAATAAAAAAAAAAACCCACCTTTTCGACGACAGATAAACTGTTGGGAGAGTGGCAGCTGCCTTTACTGGTTGGATTACCGAAACTAGCAAAGTTGATTTTCGATATAACTCGACTCCCATCGCAAGAAAGTTCCAAACGATTCCCTTCGTAAGCATGTGCAACCGCTTTGCCAACTGTCACGGTTCGTACACTTATATGGGTTGGATTCCCTCCAAATTCCTCAAACAGAACCAACGTATTATCTTCTTCCTCGTTCAAGAACGATCGAGGCACATGGTACCTTAATAAACACCCAAAAAAAAAAAGAAACATTACCATGTGAAAATTGAAAAAAAAAATGTGGATCTATTATAAATTAAATTAAAAAAATTAATAATAAACAAACCATCTTTGTGAAGAATTTCCACAATTAGTCAAGCATTTCGAACCGGTGTAGTCTCCTCTATAATCGCACGAAGAAACGCAGCCATTTTCGTCTGCGAGATAGCTCGGCCAATATCTTCCGATATTATGTCCGTTCACCCAAGCACTTCCTTTTCCTAATCCCCATAAATCCAAAACGACGGCGTCTTTTCCTTTCGGAGTTCTAAAGCTTGTCTGCACGAGATTTTTTTTAATATTAAAAAAAAAAAAAGTTGAAACTAAAAGTGAGATATAAAATATATACTAATTACCTTGTACCAAACAAACATTCGGTTGAACGGGATATTAGAATGCCATTCGCGCTTGTACTTAGTGTCGATATTTTGAAGACCTCTTTCGATACCGTTCAATCCAACCTTGTACGCCCATTCGTTTGTCGAAAGATCCTTCTCTATGCTGTTTGGTGCTACTAGTTTTACGGGGCCTAGGATTCCGTTTTTTACTTTGTCGATGTAAGCTCCGTAATTCTGTTCACAATTAAAGAGTAACAATCCAACATTATTAACACAAGAACAAATATATTACATATAAAAAAAAAATCTTGCGCTACAAGTTGTCTTACTTGGAGTCCAACTGTGACGCTGAGCAACGAAATCGAGTTAGTCCCTCGTTTGAGCTTAGCACTTTCCTCAAACACAAAGCTGTACTGCCCGTTTTTCACCCACTTAGTTCCTACAATTATAAAATCAGGTCGTCTCTAACTAGAAAATGAAAATGAAGCCGTTTATTTCAATTTTTATTTTTGTAACAAATTTAAAGTCTCCTTACCGATATGCTTGCCGTTGAAAAACGCGTGAAGTACATGGCAGTCGCAGTTAACTCTTAAAGTAACCTCTTCGCCCCAAATAGGATCATCTTCATTTACATCCACACTAGCATCATGCATCAATAATCGATTAGTATTTCAAAAATAGAAAAATAATAATAATAATAATATAATATTTTTTTCTTTTTTCAATTTTTCGAAAAATAGAGAAAGATGCAATAGTACCTAGTCATGTACCAAAGATAATCACTTGTATCGTTAGTAACGATTTTTTGATCGAGGAGTTGATTGGCGTAAGTTACACCTTTAAGAGGGCTACTTTTATTCAACGAGGTTTTCAAGTGTTCGAAATGCTCTGCTCTCCATTGCCACTCGAAATCGTAGTGACGTTTTTCCTCGGCTTCTGCCGGTAGTTCCTTTACCATCACCGACGTTTGAGTATTAACCTAGTACACAGGTTTTTCAAGAATTATATAAAAAAAAAAAATAATAATAATAATTGAATATTCGACGAAGAAAGAATAAAATAAAATAAATAATTACTCGGGCCGTGTTGTAAACTTCGGTGACACAATCGGGAAGAATGCTGACGGACCAAGCGGGCACGGTATATTTCCTGCCTTCGAAATTGATTGTGATGTCATCTTTGTTATTTGCATTGCCTAAGAAACATACCCTTGTCCCATTTAAACTATACACCGTCGACTGAAAAAAATCGAAATAAATAAATTGGAATACAAAAATCATTAAATAGGGAAAAAAAAAGAACAAAATAAAAAATACTTACAGACATCATTCGGCCGTAGTCGGTGTTCGTGTATTGTCCGTAAGTTAGAATCTTTTCCATTGACATAAGTAGGGAATGTAGCTTCTTTAAATGTCCCCATTTAGGTTGGTTTAGATTCCCTAAAAAAATATTTTTAAAAAAAATTAATAAATCACAAATTAAGTTGTTCATTATGATATTATTGAATTATCGAAGTTTTTATTACCGTATTCATCGATGGGGGCGTCGTAATCGTATGACGTGGCAATGTACGGTCCACCGGCAGTTCGACCGAAGTTTGTTCCGCCATGATACTAATGCGTAAACAGAGGATTTAGTAAATCGTTAATATTTAAATTTACTAAAATTGCGAATTTGGATTTAATAATTTAAGATTTAAGAAATTACAAACCATGTAATAGTTCTGCAACGTGCCGCCGTACTGATAGAATCGTGCGACTGCGAACGAAAGATCCTCTGCAGTTCTGTGAGGATCTTTGCCACCCCAGTTCTTAAACCTTAGGTGGTAAGACAAAACAAGAAAATCGAAATTAAATTTACGAATAAATAAACAGAATTTATATTTAAAATAAAAATAAAAATAATTTATTAGCTAATAAATGTTGGTAAATGCTAATTACCAGCCACTCCAGTTCTCAGTCCAAAGCTTTGGCTTATTTTGATGAGGCCAGAATTGATCACAGTACCACCCATTGCATGTGTTAATCTTTTCCCAAATAAAAAATAAAAATAAATAAATAAATTAAAACATTTTTGAAAATTAATAAAATAAAATAAGTATTTAAAAAAAAAATGAAGGGTTATTTTTACTGACCATTGATTGTGGAGCATCAGATTCTTGACACATGATCCAAGGGACACCGATTTTCAAAGATTCGGCGAAATTCGCACACCAATTAATATACGATTTTCCTTCGTTACCATACGAACTAATTATGTTTCCGTACTCGTTTTCGATCTGTTTTATTTTGTTTTCGATACAGAAAACAAATATCAGACATTCGATTATCGATTAACAACAAAAAATATTTTGAAACAAATACGAAAAAACGAAACAGCATGTATTTTTTTTGTATTACGAACCTGAGCAAGTATAATCGGGCCGCCTTCAGAAGCGAAAAGATTTGCTTGTTTCACCTTGTCCACAATCATGGTTGTGAATGTCTTCATTTCACTCTGAAAAAATCATGAATTTAATTTTTATTTATTTAATTTTCAAAAAAAAAAAAAAACAAGACATTTTCAATGTTTGTAACATAAGTTATTAAATAAAATAATTACCATGAATGCATCATTTTCGGTTCTGAAAGTCATGTTGTTGAAACTATTCAACCAAACAGGAAACCCTCTGGACATAGAAATTAAAATAAATAGTTTAAGAATTTAGAACTGATATGAACTAATTAAATTAGAATAAAAAGTTATAATTAAAAAATATAGAATGTATATATTTTTACCCATAGTTCCATTCGGCACAAACGTACGGCCCGATTCTCAAGATCGCGTAAAGCCCTTCATCTTGAATTAGCTTCATGAACTTGACAAGGTCCAAATTTCCAGAAAAATCATACTGAAAAAAAATCCATGCATTAACAATAGTCACAAATAGATACAAATTATATATGTATATCTTTTAAATAAATAATCAGATCTAGTAAACGATCGAAGAAATTAAACCTGTCGATAAAGCGGCTCGTGAGCATTCCAAAACACGTAAGTCTCGATTGCGTTAAGACCTCCTTCCTTTGCTTTCTTGATCAAAGATGGCCACATCTAATAACCAAAAAAAAAACAATAAATTTGTACTTTAATTTTCATCTAGTAAAAAAAAAATAATAATAATAATATTCACAATTTACAGTATAAATATATTATATTTTTTGTACTGACGGACCTCGGGAGTGCTACGAGGATAGTGAATGGAACCGGAAATGATGATTCGTCGTTGGCCGTCGATTTTGATGGCTCTTCCATCGTACGAAACATCGGTAGCGTTAACAGGAAAACTGAAAGTTGTGAATAAAATGACTGCTAATATTAATATATTGAAGAAACCCATTGTTTTTTTGTTTTGTTTTTAGTATAGAAAATATTGTGTTGGGGGAGAAGGTGTTATTTATAATATATGCATGCAGATGGATTATTAAACATGGACTCTTAAAAACCTAGTATTGATAGGATTTGGATAACGTTAAATCTTCAGATGTGTGTTTGTATTTATCCAGATCGGATTAATTAGGATAATTAGCGTGATATATAATTATTTTTTTGATAAATAAAAAACGTTGTAGAAGCTCATATAGGGCAATATTCTCATGCTTATTTGTAGTTTGTACTAGTAATTTATAAGTTTGTGATAAACCTTCTAGAATTTATGCATATTTTTATGTATATTTTTAAATATTATAATGAATCATATATGTATCCGAAAGATAAGTTTAAAGAACAAATAATCATGAGTACAAAACATAAATTTGCCAAAACCTTTCACAAAATTTAAATTATATATTTTGAAATTATATATAAAAAAAAGAAGTATATATCAATGACTTCAAACCAGTGCAAATGTATCGCGATACGATACGATTTCTATAGAAACGACGATATGTTTGTTACGGGTATGGTTACTAGTGTATTTAGGCCTCGTTTATTTCTAGTTATTAGCATGGATGTACTAATATTTATCCAACCAGGATGGAGAAAAACTATTATTTAAACGATTTTATTAATTTATCGAGATTCTACTCTATATCAATGATTCAAGAAAAGATGGAAATGAGGGTAATAATGTCATATCACAAACTTCCACTTGTCAATCCTGTCAAGTAAACAACATATTTCTATAATACCACTTATATTATACAATATAGTAAACAAAGTATATATTACTTCTTCTCATCCTACAATTATTACTTCTTTTAATCAATTCTTCCACATCCATAGGGAGAAGTAAGCGAGTCCTTAATAGATAAGTACGTAAAAATAAATTCTAAAAAACAATTTGCAAAAAAATTAAAAAAAAGTTAAATATACATTGGAACTTCAAGTACCTGTGTTCACCTATGTTGCACGGACACGGATATACGCGAAAACGGATACGGTGATACGGCATTTCCAAAAAACTAGGATACGGACACGCGTAAATATAAAAAATATAGGGGTATATTTATAAATTATAAAAAATAGAGGGGTAAATTTATAAATTGTAAAAAATATTAATAAGTCGCCAAATCGCATAAGAGAACCGCTCGCCCTTGCAGCTCGTGTTCTTGGTCACCGTCCCCGCTAGAATTAAGGACTTTTGGGAGTACTCTCAAAGAAGAAAAATGAAATGTCTATTATAGAGAAAAGAAAATGCGTATTTTTTTATTAGGAGTCGTATCCCAACTTTTTTTAAATTATGGACACTGCCTAATTAGCGAAATTACGACACGGCCTAACACGGGTGTCCGAGCCGTGTCCGGGTGTATCCAAGTGTCCAAGTATCGCACACGAAGACTCTAAACTCTTCACCTTCTAGAAGTGTCCGTGCAATATAGGCGTTCACAAATTATAAACAATCCCTTTCATATAGAATCATAAACTAACTCTACATAATGCAGAGTATATAGTATGTTCAATTCGATACCTGCCAATAATATAAATAATAGAAAGGTACAAAGGCGTTGACTTGTATAAAAAAGCCAAAATTAATTTTATTAGCACTTGCTGCAGAAAAGGATGCTGGCCAAAGAATAAAATCAAACATTCTTCTAAAACTCGATTGAATCAATCAATCTTCCAAAAAATCAAATTAACCTAAATTCTACAAAAAATAAAAAATAAACGACGCCACCTCCTTTAATTAATCTACTGATAACCATTCATCATCTCCATAAGTGAAGGTGAAATCGGATTATTCGAGCAGAAGAAATCATTCGAAATCGGCGCGAAAATCGGATCATCATAGCACGGATAATTAGGAAATTTGTACAATGGCGAACAATCCTGCTGCTCCGTAATCTCATCCGTCAGCTTTGTTTCCTCGTACCCGACATTATTATTATCATTATTATTACTATTACTATTACTATTCATAACAGGGCCGCGATCTTTTACGTCGGCCGCGGACAAGTACAAAGACCCCGATTCTTCCGGCTCGGGTTTCACGGTGGTTTTCACATCGTCGTCCGCGCGTGACATTCCCGTGAGTTTCTGCACCAGAGCCCTAAAGTCACGCGCCTGAGCGTGGATCACCTTGGGGGGGTGCGTGTATATGATCACCGGGGGCTGCTGGCGCTTGGACGCCACGCCGCCACCGCCGCCGTGGTTCTTCGCGGGAGATCCGGACGATGAATGGATCAGATTCTGATCGGAAGAACTTTTGTGGATGGCGTGAGAATCTTTGTTGATTCGCAACGGCGAGGGACGTGATCCGTTGATCGTCGTCGTCACTCCTTTCATCACCTGATCACTGTCTTGATAATTCCAAGGGCTCATGATTCTTCTTTCTTGTTCTTTTTGTCGCTAAAATTAGTGTGGAAAAGAAATGTTGTTAGGGAAGTGAGGGTGGTTGCTTATGTATAGGGGTTTGTTGGAGGGTGTTATGAACTAACTAAGAAGAAATAAAAAAAAAAATTGTATATAATAAAGAAACGCTAGAGCAACTTGAGAAATCGTAATGGTATATTTATAAAAAGAAATTAATTTATGTGTGTATATATATTTTTTTGTCTCCTATTTTGCAGTAACTTTTTTTTTTCTAATTACTTTCGACTAGTACAATCCTAATTAATATCAGCAATTGAACTGGGCCTACCTGAAGCCTGATAGTTCGGCCCGATTTTATTTGAGTCGAGCCCGATAATTGTAAGTCGGGCCAAGTTTTAGCCAATTCATTAAACATGGTTAAACGATGGGCCGAGTTTGAGCTTACCAAGGCTCCGCC